GTATATTCACAAAATATTGGTGACACTATGCTGGGGAGAGTTCTTAGAATAAGAAATAGTAGCAAAGAAAAGGAGAGCTGACTGGCAAACCCAAGATACAGAGGGAGATGAGAGGCGACTGAATATTCAATACGGAAGGTTAAAAATAAAAGGTATCAGACTGCTGGGACAGCAGTATATCCCTTATTAAAGGGAAAAATAGCAGACTTCTCAAAACAATTTGTTTATTAATATTTAGATTTCATAAGTGAAATAGGGCAATTCTAGTAGGTATTTGTGTTTTTAGGTGTGTGAGGGAAACAATTTCCTTTGTGTCTCTGCGTATGTGCGCAAGCACTATGTTACTCTGACCTTTTTTTCATAGTGCTGACTATGTATTTAGTGCAGAAGATACTCTAGTTTTGGTAGGTTGATTTTTGTCTATCCATAAAATTCTGCTGACTTCTCTTTTGTGTCTAAATACTTGACTGATTATTGAATTCCATGCGTTTATGAGTACATCAGAAGTCTTATTTAACAATTAGTGTCTGGAAAATGAAGGAAAGACACGTCATGTATGTGCCACATATTTAAATCACACTTTAAAAAAGCCATCTGTTCAACATTTCATTTTTAGGGCATTCTTTATTCTACAGTGAAGTGTACTCATTAATGGAGGGTTCAAAACCAACTTGTGTACCTATTAGGCATCGTGTTATTTTTTTTTTTTATATATTGTGGTGGGTTGACCATGGCTGGACACCTGGTGCCCACCAAAGCTGCTCTATCACTCTCCTCTTCAGCTGAACAGGGGAGAGAAAATATAATGAAAGGCTCGTGGGTCAAGATAAGGACAGGGAGAGATAATTCACCAATTACTGTCATGGGCAAAACACACTTGACTTGGGGAAAATTAATTTAATTTACTACCAATCAAATCAATGTAGGATAACGAGAAACAAAAACTAAATCTTAAAAACCTTCCCCTCCACCCCTGCCTTCTTCCAGGGCTCAACTTCACTACTGATTTCTCTGCCTCCTCCCCACCAGCTGTGTGTGGGGGACAGGGAATGGGTGTTGTGGTCAGTTCATCACATATTATCTCTGCTACTCCTTCCTTCTCAGGGGGAGGACTCCTCATACTCTTCTCCTGCTCCAGTGTGAAGTCCCTCCCATGGGAAACAGTCCTCCGTGAACTCCTCCAATGTGAGTCCTTCCCACTGACTAAAGTTCTTCATGAACTGCTCCAGTGTGGGTCCCTTCCATGGGATGCAGTCCTTCACCACCAGACTACTCTGGCCTGAGTCCCCTATGGAGTCACAAGTCCCACCAGCAAACCTGCTCCAGCCTGGGCTCCTCTCTCCACAGGTCCTGCCAGGAGCCTGCTGCAGCACAGACTTCCCATGGGGTCACACTGTCATTCAGGGCTCTGTTAGACATATGGGAAGCTTCTAGCATCTTCTCACAGAAGCCACTCTTGTAGCCTTCCCCCTCTACCAAAACCTTGCCATGCAAACCCAATACATAGATGTGTGTGTGTGTATGAAAAATTGCCTGAAATTCAGAACACTTGACAATTGAACATAAGCTCCTGAGGGTGATGTTTTTGCTGCTAATAAGCAAGCTAGAGTCTGGACAAAGAGAATAGAGCTTCACATTGAGCTGTGGACAGTAGCCACTCATAAAAATTAAAATTTTTATTTGTGATTTTTTTTTTCTGCTCTTGCATAATTGGACATCGGGTGACAGTTCTTTGGAATAACCTATAACCTCTTATGTGTTTTAATAATACAAGTTTTTGCAATATTGTCTTACAGATTTTGAATTATTTATTTTTTTTTATTGTTCAGAGCAGGCACGTTACAGTTACACTTTGTTTATCTGAAACAGTTAT